ATCTTCTGAATGGTTTTAAAATGAGTGTGAAAACCCTCCAGTTTTTGCCTTTTTACATACATTGGTTAACTGCATTATTTTTTATTTCCTTTTACATCATTTTCCAAGTAAAGAAAGTACACAAAAAAAATTCAAAATGCAATGATTATGTGGATGCTGTAAGTTTTTATGGAAATGTGAGATTTGGGAGGAAGGCTTATCAAAACAGGAAAAAACCAAGTGAAAGGCAGGAAATGCTTCCCTGCAGGGCTGTGAATTGGGCATAAAAGATGAAAGCCAACACACTTTGAAAGATACTGTCTAAGGCTTCATCAGCTTCTTCAGTCATAAAGTTACTGTATCATTAATAAGAAGATAAAACGTATATAAAAGTGTAGATAATCATGATGGCACTGCCTTGTTCATAGCTGTCTAAATTTAACTACATACAAATTTTTTATTTGGTTTTGTTATTCATTATAATTATTATTTGTTTAATTTTATTTTGCAACTCACTTGAATTACTTACAATACAATATGAACATAACTTACAAGCTATAAATACATATAATGCAACATAAACACTACCATGTTATCTAATTCATACCCTAAAATTCCATTGTCTATACTTTAGATTACCTGTTTAAATTCAATTCAACAAAATTAAACAGTGTCTGGTACATGTATAACATGGACAAGAGAGTACACTGCCTTACCTGGAATACTTGTGAAGACTTCACTCATACCCATCAGGGTGTACTGTGGAATTTGCCACCAAATAGAATAGTCTCTCACCACAGGGTATCTTTCCCCACTGGCAGTATGATTGACAGAACCAGCATCAAAAAAACTGTTTGTCATTTCTTTTTCAACATAACCAGCTGTAGAGTGAAAAAAGGAAGGTCAAAGGAGTGTCGAATGTGTAAGATTTTAGCAGCCACCAGCACCATCCTTATGAAGCAGACTATATGTACACTGTACATGACTGTTTCATTACTGATTTTCAATCTTTGACAGGTACAAATATGTATATTGGCATTTGAAAGCATTTGGTATAATTATTTTTCTTTAAAATCAGCCCTTTCTGATTGTGATACATGAAGAAGATGTAGGAAAAGTTTTGCAGGTACAAATTACATGAAATTTGTGCATTTTTACCATTGGTAAATCTAGGAGGAGTAAAGGAGCATTTGGATAAATGTCTACCAAAAAGAGGGCAATCCATGGAAGGGTGAGGGGTGATGCCCCTGCCAAGAATGTTGAAATTGAGATCTTAAAAAAATGATTTCTCATTTTTTTCAGGGATAACTATTGTAGAAAAAATTCCCAATATTTGCATGTGTTTAGATGTTTTTCAAATTCAGTGTAGGGAGTTTGACCAAAACACCTGAACCACCTTTGAATCTGCCCCAAACTTGTACTCACCCATTCCAGCTGAACCAGCAGCCAGGAACATTCCTAAGATGACCTTTCCAAGGATGGAGACATTAATACCACACCCATTCAGGCTGGGATAAATAGCTCTCTCCAGCATCGGAACAAGGATCAGAAGAATAAAAATCTCACAGAGACTTGGCCACGCAGCAGGGATAATAAACCCTCCATATTCAGCCTTGAGGTGAAGACCTTGCAGGATAAATGTGCTGTAAAGCTAATTAAATAAATTGAAATTCAGTTTCAGTTGAAAATATGAATGTCAATAACAACATTGCGGGTTTTAAAAATTTCCATTTGTCCCTCCTTTTGTCTTTTGCAATGTACACAGACTCACAGATGTAAAATGAGGACTTCAATTGATTGATTGGACTGGCTCATTGACTGCAGACGCTGACTGTCTGATCAATTGACGAACTGACTGACTGACCAACTGAAAGACTAAATGACTGAGAAAAACTGACTATAACTGAGTGAATGACTAATTGACTGACTAAGGGTCTTTCCATGCAAGCGAAAAAGTACTGTTGTTTCTTCAGACATATTTTCTGTTATCACTAACATTTTACAACTGCAAATGGTTTGTCACATTAAAAAACTTTTGCCACAGCCGACAAATCTTCAAACACACTGCTAGCATGTAATTGAACTGAAATAAATTGCAAAATTCAGGAATTCTAAAATAATTTAAAACAACTTAGGATAAATCCTGTAAATTGGAGGTTAAATACTTTGGCAAACTATGCTGGCCTGTCTTATGAACAGATCAGGTGCTGATGGAATTTGACAGCTTTTAAATTTTTAATGCCTGCCAGATACAAAAACATGTCAGGACAAAATTGGCTCTTTGATTTTGTCTGGAAAATTCTAGCTTTGTCTGCTCATGTAGAAAGGCCCTAACTGGCCAACTAACTGTTTGACTAACTAATTGGTTGCTTGATTGGTTGACAGAATGACTGACTGATTGATTGACTGACTGACCAACTGACTGACTGACTGACCAACTGATTGACTGACTGACCAACTGACTGGCTGACCAACTGATTGACTGACTGACCAACTGACTGGCTGACCAACTGATTGACTG